CCACTGCCACCCCTGCATCCAATGATTTAGTGACCTGGTCGTAAAAGGCCACCAGGTTGGTCTGACAGGACCTGCCGCTGATGAACCCGTGCTGGTTGCCCCTGAGCATGCCGTTCCCTGCTGGCCCCTCCTGGATGTGTGCCAGAATAATTTTCTCGAACAGCTTGCCCAGAATCGAGGTAAGACTGACTGGCCTGTAGTTCCCCAGGTCCTCTTTCCTCCCCTTTTTGAAGATGGGAACCACGTTGGCCCTCTTCCAGTCCCCGGCACCTCTCCAGAGCACCACGAGTGTTCATAAAGCCATGCCAGGGGACTTGCAATGACCCCAGCCAGTTCCTTTAGGACTCTAGGGTGAAGATCATCCGGGCCGGCTGACTTAAAAACGTCCAGCCCCTCCAGAAGCTCCCTAACTAAATCCTCACTCAACCTAGGCCCAGGTGAGCCTAAGGTTACAAGAAACTATAATTAGGGGTGTACCAATTAGAGATTTTGGGGGCTGATTCTGATAGTCCATTTTTAAGGAGGCATATCGGCTGATACCAGTCCAATTTCCAATATAGATGTGTGCAGCTAGTAAGTCTGTGGTGGTGGAAGGGAAGGGGCATTGGGGGGCAGATCAGTGCTCCCCACGGTGAGGGAGGGGGCAGGTGCTGCCCAGCAGGGGTGGGGCAGAGCACGGGATGGAACCATGCCTCATCAGGGAGGGGGAGACTCCTGCTGTTCCTTGAACCCCGGGAGGGCACGGGGCAGGGGGTGTCCCTGGATCTGGGTAGGGCAGACAGGCTGCAGCTGCAGGCTGGAGCCGGGGCTCTGGCTGGCTCTTCTTGGTGGGGCCTGGGCTTGGGAAGGGGGCTACAGAAGGGGCTGCAGCTACTCCAGGTTTTGTCACAGGCCTGTTCCCAGCACTGCTGCCACAGCGCACCCATGGCTCGACGCGCTGCCTCCACCCATGCGCTAGCAAGAGCTGGGGCCGCACCTGGTGTGTGGCAGCACTGGGAGCAGGCTGTAGTGAAATTTGGGGTGGCTGCAGCCCCCTCTGTAGCCCCACCGAAAAGAGCCTGGCACAGCCCTGGCTCTACCCTGCAGCTACAGCTTTCCTGCCCTGCGCAGATCTGGGGGCACACGCTGCCCCCACTCCCCCCAGTGCCCTTCTGGGGTGCAAGCAATGGTGGGAGTTCCCCCCACAAGCCATGGCTCCATCCCATGCCCTGCCCCACACCAGCTGGGCAGTGCCTGTTCCTGCCCCTCCCTTTCCATGGGGGGGGGAGGGGGGCATTAATCTGGCCCACCACACCCCTTCCCTTCCCCCTCCCCTTCTTCCACAATGGATTTACCAGCTGCATACAGCTCTCCACACTGCCAGGCAATACTGCTTGCTGCCTGTGCTGCGATGTGGTTGCGTGCGCACACAAGCATTTATCAGCCAAATTATCAGCTGCATCGGGCCGATTTTCCAACAGGTGGATCAATCTTTTTTTTCTGGTCACTTCTTCACCACTGAATTAGGGATTAGGGATGGATAGGATCCATACTTCCCTAACTCATAGAAACAACTGGCTGATGGTCTGAAGCATGGAAACTAACTACAGATTGTCAGTCATATGCAGCTGTAGCATCAGACTCTGACCCCCCTCCTACCTTAGTGAATTCAACAGGTCGAGTCTGTGTTATGAAATAGTACTTTTCTTCTTTCAAAATTTGAAATCTCAAGTGGGACCGTTGCTGCTGCTATTTTTAACTGTTTATTCTGTTGTAGTGCATAGAGGCTAACCATCGGAAGGCCCCTGTTGTGCTAGGAGTGTAGAAAAAAATGTAATATGATTGTTCTTGCCCCGAAGAGCATACAACTACATATGTTGGGATGCCTTGCTTGCGTGACTAAAGATTGCCAAGCTTTTCCCTTAAATTTGAAGTGAAAATAAATGTAGTATATTTTTAGGTTATTTTCCCATCTCACTTGCTGTCCTTTTGTGCCTGTGCAGAGATCACTTGGTATTATGACGTGGAATCGTATGTACCAAATGCGTTAGAGTTAATCTTTAGAGTGAATGTAGGAGGATGACCATATAGTGGTTACATCGCAAATAGGTGCTTCACCTATAAATAGCAAACTGTTCTTCTGTTGCCTATCAGAATAATATTGTAAACAGATTCGGTGACCTTAAGAATGACTAATGACTAATTTTTATTCCTTTCTGAATGCAATCTTGAATTTGTAGCTCTCCCAGTGCGTGCTGTCTTTCTGTTGGGTGTCTTCCATTTCCACTGCAACTTGTAGCATGAACATTTTATTGCAAAAATCGGCAAGGCTTTACAGTGTATTAGTGGCTTGTATTAACTTCTTGTATTTACACTTTTACCCTCACTGGGCTCAAGCTCAAGTAATGGTAGCTTTCATCTCTCTGTCGCTGAAGGCTAAGCTGTGGTGCACCTTCCTCTTGGTGAGGAGTAAGAGTGTGCAAATGGGCTATTACCTTCAAGTAGCTGATGTGTAACGAAGGCCCATTCACTTTCGCTCTGTAATAAGTCGTTCATATGTCTGCACCCGTAGCTTATTTGTAAACTACAGATCTTGCCTGCTGTAAAACAACAAATATCTGATACCGATTATTTAAATTAACCTGTCTCTTAGATTAGACCAAAACATTGGCCAAACATGTTTCTCCAAATTGCTTATTTCAAATTGTAAGCAATAATAGAAGGTCACAAGGAATTTGCACATAAAATGAGTTGTGAGGGGGAAAAAACCCCCAATTAACTGGAAAGGGCAAG